CCCAAAGCATCCTTAAGTATTGCCACTCATGGCTTGAATTTGTTTTTTAATTCCTTCAGCTTAAGGAACGCTAAGCAAGTTTAGCCCTTTTGGTTTTCTGACTCCAGCTCTTTGCACATTTCATTATAGTAACTTGTTTTGTCATCCCGAGCTGCCCTTTAAAATTTTTTGTTCAGCTCTTTAATTTCTTGATTTCTTTCTTTAGCTCTGGCTTCTTGGGGCTCTAATGCAATATTCAGAGTCTCATCTGACATCCTTCTTGATCTTTTCTTCCTTTTCAGCCTTTGTAATGATCTTTTGCATTCTTTATGGACAATATTCTTGATATCCTCCCACAGCTCATTTGGTCTATGCTCATTGGTGCTCAAGGCTTCAAACCTGTTCCTGAGATGGTTTTGAAATTTGAGTGGGATAGACTTAAGGTCAAGTTTTGGTTCCTGTGGATTTAATTTTCTTCAACTTCAGTTTGAACTTGATTTTGAGTAGAGATTTAAAATCTATCCCATTGTCAGAAGAGACCATGAGTATTCTGTTTGCCCCTCTACCCAGGGGACTAGGACAGACCTGCATCTCAGGGTTCCAAGGCTGCAAATCTTCATGGGAACAGATGGCCACATCTTCCTCGCTGGGAGCTGCTGGGGTCCTGAGCCAGCCCCCTCCAATTAACAGCCGAGTCCTTAATCACTGCACCACCAAGGCTTTTGAGTATAGATGTGGCCTCCCTGATTTTTACAACGTTACATCATTGTTTAGTCTTTTTTTCTGCCTAAAGTTTCCCTCTAAAATATCCCTGACTATTAGGTGACCCCAGAGAAAATTTAGGTTGAACGATCTGAATTCCATTTCGACAGACGCTCTTTACCCAGACTCACTGCTGTCAGGTCGGCCCTGCCTCATTGCACACACTCTCCCTGCCTCCCATCTGTGGCCTCTCCATCATTTCTGAGCTTGTGAATCGCAGGGGAGGAGACTGTCCACCTTTCTCCAGAGAGGCAGCTGGTGGGTTCGAACCACTGAGGCACAGCCTTTCTGCTCAGCAGCACCACTGCCCTACAGATTACACCCCCTGAGCTCTTTTTTCTTCACTCAGAAAATGCAAATGCATCGGAAGGACGCTGGAGGATGTCCTGGCGCCCTCTGGTGTAGCACCAGCCAAGGGCAGCTCTTCACCTTTGAGAGATTCTGACCACAGGTGCTCTCGTGGACCAAGCACTGCACTGCTGGCCGAAAGGTGGGGGCTCGCAACTTCCTGACCTCCCCACAGCAGAAAGCGGAGTCAGTTTCCTCCCACAGAGAGTTACAACTTCGCAAATTCTACGGGGCTGATCTACTCAATCCTGTGGTGTCGCTAGGAGCCAGGAGCTGAGAGGCAGATAAAGCCTAACAATAAGGGCCAGGTGAACAGGGGCCGCTGTGTGACACAGGCTGTTGGCTGGACTGGAGGGGACACAGGCTGTT